AGACGACACTATTCTCCATTACCTGCTCCCAAAGTAAATTTTTACGCACGGCTTCAGCTGAAAAGAAATTTGCTCATTAACATACGACAGAAATTCCTGCGCCTTGTCAGTCATGTCATTCTGACCTACTGGATGGATGTCTACTGAATAAATACCGGGGTTATACAATGAGCAGAATCTGACAGTCGCTTCTTTCAGCCGTGGTACACCATGTCGTAGTGGCGTACACGATTATAGTGATGGTCATCAACACAGCTGCGATCGCTATGATCCTCAGTTTGGCGTTCCTTGTTAACAAAAAAGGTAAGTCTTCTGTGATCTAGGAACGGTCACTCCTCTGAGCAGGGGTGGATGCTGGAAAAAATATTGCCGTTATTTTGTGCATTGCCCGGGGCAAGCTTCACGAGAAGGGCGACAAACTGGCTCACAAGGAGGCGTTTTCCAAGTGGGTTGCATGGGCTGAACACGCTGTTAGGGACCGTGATTCTGAACAAAAGTAAAGCACATGGCGCATGCTGGAAGGGAGTTTGAGGAACGTCAAGCACTTTGTGTTATTTCATTTATAAGGACAGCTGCCCAGAACAAGACGCTGCCTTGTGAAGGCGCCACTGGCGTGTTGGTCAGTCCCATTCATGGGCGTACCACGCATAGAAGGCTCTCATGGCCTGAGCAAATCCTGAGTTGGGCCGGTTAAGCTTTTCCTCTCTTAGATGACGGTATGGTTTGCATATTGGTTCTTAGTTCACTGTAATGTTTTTCAGGGAAAGAGATGAGAAGTTCACGTCATCAAGGCAGCTGTGGTGAAGAAAGCGATAGTGTATCTGTGTCATCCCGCAATAGGGTAAGTTTCACATCAGTCAAGGGCAGTGATCACGATGGCCGGAGGACGTTGCGGTTTTGAGAACGTCATGGAGTGTCATTGGCGGAATGGTGTTAAGAGGCGGCTCCATCCACACCCTTTAGCGCCTTTGGGGGTTCAGCCCCCCCACTTACGTTCAATGCGTCGTCAAAATCGCACCGCCCCAATTCATCGTCACCGCTGCCTTTAAGTCCCTAAATGGCGAGATGCTCTGAGAGAAGCTGTGCATATTTAGATGATTCGGGTACTGACTATTGTCGTCGGAGTGTTCGTCTGTTCGTCCTATCTCTGCGTTGTCAGTGTGCACATTGCTTTACAAATGGGACTGGAAGAGGACTATCATGACTACATCATGACCTTCAATGTACATCTCGGTTATTTTGCTGTTAAAAAATCGGCCATGAAAGAATCGAGCAAGACCATGAATTTCGAGACGTTTTTATTTAAAGATTCTTAATTTTCAGATGGTGTTGGCACTGCTGACGTACATCCAAAACTACTACGTGTTATGGTTTCGTTCTCCACGGTATCGACGTGCCTTCTTTCAACAGCTCACCTGGTTACGACACTGTTTATGCTTCAATATCAAAACACCCGAAATCTCTCCAAACCCTTCGAATAATCGGCTCGGAAACGTCAACAAAGTTAGTACGACCTCATTCTGAAGGAACATTCCACAATAATTCAATGAAACTTCTCTCCCGTGAGTGGAGCGTCTGGGTGGGCAACATCGTTGTTTCAACAGCACTTGATTCGTGATTAAGTTCTGCTCGTACGCTCTCTTTTCTCGTTTCTGAATCTGTTCCCTCGAATCGTCGTTCAGTTCCTTTAGAAACGGCTATCCGTATCGTAAGCACCTGAGAAAGTTAGTTTCCTATTCCTGCTACATCCTTCCGGTCTCAGTTTTCTTTTTGGCTAACGGTTCAATTCATGTGGTCGCCTTCATAGTGTACTTAGGGAAGGGGGGGGGGGTAAGGAGTATCGCCTTACGGACTGACAATGAGTCTAGGAGTGGTCGAGCGTAGTGAACATACATATCTCTCCTTCCTCTGAGGCTTAGACTTAAGAAATGGGCGATTGGTCGGACTAGAGGACCTTAAGAAATGGAAGAAGTTGGGACTAGAGCGGAAATAAATGGTTCTTGGCTCCGCATAGAAGAGCCGCCTCACCTCCCTCCCAAAGAGGTAAGCATCTTTGCTGCTGCGCTTATCATTTATGTGAATGTAGCAGGCAATCCGCTGAGACGTGAAAGTTATATACTTAATATCCCAAACTGTTGATTGTGTTGCCCTTGTTTGAGTTAGTGTATAATTGTATTGTATATTGAAAGGCATTCCCAAGAATTCAAGGTATTCTACCTACCAACATCTTGTATTTGTTTATTTTGTACGGGATTTACATACGTAAGCTTCGCCTTGCTATTTTTTCTGTGATACTCATTGCTGTGTAATGTATTCAATAAAGCTGTTGTTATTTTCTCATTTTATTTGCATGTTGACCAAATTTTCTTTCCATTCATTACGTTTTCTTAGCTTTTCAGTCCATAATAAAGCTGTTAATGAAAGTAAGGTGCTAGATATGAAGCATCAACTGAGATAGGTAGGTTCTAGCGTCATAAAGTCAAATCTTTAATGTCAGCAGTCGCAGCAGCCACAGCAAAGAGCATCACAGCAATTCTCCAGGCACCATCCGCAACAAAGCCCCTGCCAGAAGAGCAGCGCATAGACCTTCATTGCCAGTTCCATAACGTCGTGGTCCGTCCTGCACGCTGAAAAAGGAAGTACTGTTGGGAAGGGATGGAGAAATGATCCTAAACTCAAAAAAGAGAGTGTTACAATGCTGCAAAGAGAGCAATATATGTGATCAATACTTGTCATCTAATTTCCAAGCTACGAACCTCGAAGCCATGATCGGGATAGGATTGATGAGGGTGAGTTCTGGAAAATTCCGATTTTTTTTCAAACCTGTGCCGAAATTGCCACCATACGTATCTGGTGCTCTTGCCAGAAAATGTAGAGAAAGTACGCTAATGCTCCGTCGTAATACGGACTTTTAAAGGCTGAGCTCGCCTTTTATCAGGACTGAAACTGGCCCTCCGACTCCTACCCCCCCCCACCCCTCCCCCTCGTTCTCGGACAAATTTAGAAATTTCACCTGAAACACGCAGCCAATAAAGCCTACCTAATTATTTGTAGTACCGAATGGCTAAACGCGGTGAAAGAGGGTCTGACAGTGGCTCAGAATGCAAGAGAGCAACTGTAGCCTAGGAGACCAGTGACAAGGATAATTTGTCAGAGGCCTTCCCAGACGTTTTTGAAGTCATCTCGTTAGTTAGCTTTTGCCTTCTTGTAGAAGACCTTCAGTGTTTCTATTGATTTGTGATGCTGGAAGCTCCAGAATTTTGTTCTTACTTCTTTATTGACGAGCTTTCGGCGTTTAACGCCTTCTTCTGGCCTTAATTCTAATAGAATACTATCGATACATTAAAAGTATATACATGTGTTATATGTTAGACCTTCAGTGTTTCCACTGTGCCATGATCGACCCCCAACATGGCCTCGAGAAATGGTCGCTAGAAGGAGAACCCGATGCGATTTGGGTGAGCTTGGTCCGGGGACGGGTACGTATCTGGCAAAATTGCTGTCTAGACATTTTAGTGTCGCTCGGTAAGTGTGCATGAAAGGTGAGTAGAATAGTCTTAGAAGAAGGACTCT